ACTGCCACTGCCACTGCCACCACTACTACTCCTACTACTACTACTACTACTACTGCTACTACTATACTGCTGCTACTGCGACTATTGCGACTATTGCGACGACGACGACGACTACTGCTACTGCTGACGGCTAACTTTAGTTGACTACGAGCTACTAACTAGTAAGTTCTACCATCTACTCCGCTGCCAGTTAGCTACACTATTCCGACTTTCTTCTTCCACTACTACCACCACCACATACCACCACCACCACCACCACCACGACTACCAGCAACTCCTACTGCCGCTCTACGACGTCGACGATGGCGACGACCGAACAGCAGGCACAGAGAGTGAATTGGCTCAGGATTGGCGCAAGAAATCAGCGGATGCAGTCGGCGTAGTCAAGGGTTGTGGAGTAGTGTCTGTCTTATCCGCGTGAGACAGGGGCGGCTACTACTGCGTCCTCCGTTCGAGACGCAGTCCCTGAAGTATCCAAATATCCTTCAACCCTTAGCACGAGCAACAGCCAGAAGCATCTCGACGGCGCTGCAAACGCAGCCGAAGGAGGAAGCATCAGAATAACGGCACTGAGCCGTTGTAAAGGTAGCATGAACAAGTTGAGGGTTTGAAGGGCGGGTTCAGTTCTTGGGACCAGAATGCTTCACTCATGGGCGCATGCAAGGGCCAAGGGGGTGCGAACTGACAACGATCGTAGTTTCAGTTCCTGGCGAAACAGTCAGGCCTGGCTCTACGAGCGCTTCCCTGAGGCACAATCGACAAACACGGCGAGGATTCTGATGCGCTGTAGTGCGGCACGTGTGTTGAGTTTCATTGAAGTCAGGTGCCGAATGCGTACACACAGCCATACATCCTGTGCTGTCGCCTGCACTTCCATACCTGCAAAGCAATAGACTGGATGCAAGTTAGGGCGACCTTGGCAAGACTGGAGACGCGAGTCTGAGCAGCAGCCGCAGCATTTGTCTTCGCACAGGTGATTTCAATTGATCAGGGCACGACGGATCCGGATTTCGTTGAATGGATGAGGCGCATCATCAGAGTCTCCTTCACGGAGAGCACACGCACTTCTGCATCTCTGCATGCTCTCCGCTTCCGATTTAAGGCCCAGTGCTATGCCCAGCCTCCTGAAGGATGTCGGTCGAGTGGATGACAGTGCCTTACAGCACGCCTGATCCGTGTTGTGCAATGAAGCTCATGCTCTCGAGTTTGTAGTTGCCAGATTCTGATTCTGAAACAAGGTTAGCCTTCTCCAAAGCGAGATGCTGACCCTGCACATCCACGATAGGCAGTCGCAACAACGCGCTGAACGGCAGAGCACCTGTCAAACATCAGGTTCCCCGTGTCTCATCTCAACATCACAAAAACCCTTGTGCCCGCCTGAGCTGAAGCCTCTCTCTCAGGCTGCACATTCGCCGCGTGCACTGCAGCGCACCTTTGCGTGTGGCCAGGTACTGCTGTGCCCAAGCGCTCTTGGTGGAAAGTCAGAATCTTTAAGCCGTGACCTCGGGACGAGGGCCCTGGCACTTGGATTCTGCCTTCGTTGCGCCACTCTCACCACCCTCGGATGCCGGGAAAGGTCGCTTCTTGCTTCATGCCGGTGGTTTGTGTTGGCTTCTGGCAATCGCAGCCCTGGGCTTGGCGTGTCTCGAGTCTTTCACACCTTAACAGCTCTAAAAGCAGGTCGCTCTGATCAACGGATTCTGCAAGCGTACACCTGGGCAACCTCGATTCTATGGCTCACGCATGCCTTTGGAGGCTTTGTGGTGTTTCCACGCAGGTACCACCAAGTCAAGCCACTCTAAGTCCCCTGCAGCAGGAATCTGAAAGCAGTACCGACAGTGATGTGGCTTAGCGCTGTTGTGAGCACGGCATCTGAGAATCGAAGAAGCTGCAAGGCTATCGGCCCCTATGGGCATTAGCTGCTAGTCGCGCGGGAGTTCGTGCAACACTGTAGCATGCTGTAGCTCGCTGTTTCACTGGGAGTCAAAGCAACCCCGGATCCACTATTCTGACCCTGCGGAAGCATTTTTCCAATCGAGCGGTCACAAGGCATGCGGCGTGCGATGCGTGTGCATGCGTGGCATCGGGTCAAGAGGAAGGACTCCCCGGTAGAGAAAGTCGGCTCAAGGAAAGGCATCAGGAGTTCGGGGCCGTAGTAGGGGCTTGTGTCCTCTCGAAAGAACACTTCCGTCCGGTGCTGAGAATTGTTGCCACCAAGAGACCTACATGTTGCTGTTAATGTCAGGTACTCTGAACCCCTATACGCAGACACACGCTTCCCAGCGCTGCTGTGAGCAGGTCATCAGAGCATCGAAGAAGACTGCCTGTCTGCGGCGTATCGACAGCATGTTGTAGTTGCCGTGTCACTGGGAGTCAAAGCAACCCCGGATTCACTTTTCGCAGGTTGCGGAAGCGTTTTTTCCCAAAACAGTAACTCAGTTTGCTGCAGTGTCGACATGTGCGGGTTTTTCAGCTGTCACCAGGCCTGTCCACGATGCTCGCACACCGAATGTCGCATTTCAGGTTTCTCTCTTCTCGTACGTATTCCATGCAGATGCCTGCCCTTGCACCGCAGCACTGGTATATGGGCTTTGTCGTCCACCGCATTATCTGGTTGATCAGCCGACACAACCACAAGCCAACCCAACACCGAACCACTCCCGGACGATACTGGTCGAGAGCCAGAGGATACTAAAGACTCGAGCGGACAGAGGTCAACGACAAAGAGGTCATGTCAACAGCCACTCTCTAAGTTCTGCTAGGAACTTCGCTAGGGAATTTCCTCTGAGCGAATGAACTCCGCCGTCCGTTCCTGAGAATTCGAGCTTAAATCCATGGGCTGGCAGATTGAAGGATGACGTGACTTGTTGCTCCAACGGGAGGCTGCAGATGAGACCTCGTCCCGAGAGTCCTTGCCCCAGCTAGATTGTTGGTGCCACGAGCCCCATTGATCCATCAGCCGACATCCGTCAGGAGCAGGTCAGTTCAGTGGTATTCAGTGATGCACGTGCAAGATCGGCTACTGCCAGGCCTCAAGATGCAGCTGCCAGCATGAGCAGCAGAGAGGCACCACAAGCGAGATGCCATCCTGCCCGGCTACTCTCTTCCATTTTTTGTCAGGCCTGTCTTCCCCTGGGGCCAGGCACCGCTGCTGATGTGCTTATGACAGAAGGCCGCAGGCCTTGGAAGGGTCGTGGCTTGTGGGGTCACCTAGCCTGGCAGGTGAACGTGAAGGAAACGGTACGGTCGATGGCAGTGAGCCCGAGAGCCCTAATCCAAAAGGCCATCCATCGTCATCTGGGTCATCTGTGTAGAGCCCGCGCATGTTTTGCGATGCTTTTCGCCATGTCAGATGTTTGGGTTCATGTCTATCACTGCGACCCATACACCGGCTTTCTGAACAGGCGGGCATTGCATGGCATCGCAAACCTTGTGCTGCTGCGTGTGGCCGTTGCAGTGTGTTCGAAGACATTAACATGCAGGATGCTGCTGAAGAACTCTGAAATAGGTGGGGCCTGCAGCACTTCCGGCGAGAACTCGTCTTTGGGTTTCTGTGCGGAGTAGTGACGACAGTGGCAATCACAGTGGGTAACTATAAGTTCTAATTAATGGTTGGAGTCTCGTTACAGAGATGCAGCAGGAGGAGACGATGTGGATAGACTCATAGCGCACAACAGATACACGAAGCCACGGCACAGGCATCTATCATGCCGGGATCGAAGTCTACGGCGAGGCCCCGACTCGAGCTGCTAGACGGCTGTTCGGGTTAAACTTTCGATGCGAACCTTCGGATGCGGTGCGATCATAAGAGCACTTGGCAGCAGCGATGTTCTGCCTAAATTGGAGGCAGGGTGAGGCCCAAACCATGTTCAACTTCCGAAAACATCAAAAGCGATGCCGCACTGTGTAGTCTAGATTGCTTGAATGAGACACCCTGTGCGCTTCAACATGTGCCTGCGGCTGCGAGACCTGACCGGATGCTATTCTTGTATAGGGCGGGAGCCGCCCTCCTGACCTTGATGCGCCAGGAGTGGTCGTTTCAGTACTTTGAAGACACGTGGAATGACCCCACGATTTCCGGCATCATTCGATGTGCCCCGAAGCAGATGAGCGGCAGGAGGCTTGGTTTCCCGCAGTCGCTTGTGGACAGTAGAGTGGACCAATTTCAACCATTTTCTGGTCTCATAGTGTCTATGGTGGTCCTTCATACTATGCGTACCAGTACTCACCGTGGTAATCGCACTCCCCATTAGCATGCGCTGCTTGAGCTCTCAGGCTATGAGTATCAAGAGTCGCTGAATCTTGGGCCCACTTCATTGAGCGTATCGGAGGCGGGCTTTGGACCTCAACGGTGCAGATTTAGGCATGGGTTTACATTCGTACAGGGCTTAGGAGAAGCACTGCACAAGGTCGACGACTTGCTGGAGACATTGTGCGATGAATATTCGGCCAGCACGTCACCCACTCAGTTGCTGCGCGAGTACGGCTCTTCGCAGACTGCTTATGTACAAGCTTCTGAAGCCGCAAAGATCAAGTCTCATTTGCGGTTGCAGCCGCGAAGGTTGCTTTTGTGTCTGCCCGCATCTGCCTGCGCGAGAGAGCCCCCAGGTACCACCTCACACACCGCAACTGCTTAACCTTCGCCCAGCACCTGGCTGGACGCAAATAGCCCAGCAATTGGAAGCGTTGCATCATGACTTGCAGCGGGAGCTCTGACTTCTTTAGGCTTGCAGGCTCCTAGACCGTTCCCGGACTGGATCCTGGGCATCTTGGAGGTGTCTTTACAGACCTTGCAATTCTATGGGTTTTCTCAGAGCTCAGCACTGGGCTTGACGAGGCCAGCACGAGGGTCGGTGCCGTGGATGCAACCGTGGACTACTTCTGGTCTTGGGCCAAGTGGTCTGGGACCCTGGTATGGCTGCAGCTCCTGCTCGCAGATTTTTTGAATTATCCCCCAAGTCCTAGCCTAAGTGCGGAAGGTACATGATTCGGAAGCATGAGCCGCCGGAGGACGCTGTCGGACTTTCACTTGCTTTCTCTTGCACCGTCCTTTGACTCCTCCTCCGTCCGGGCCGCGACAAAAAGCCACCCGGAGAGGGTTTATGGCCTCACCCTGCTGAGATCTGCCCGGAGGATCCTCCTCCCCAGCCGCCTCAGCAGCAGGCATGCACTGAGCATCGTCCTCAGAGCTAGACAGCTAAGAAAGCGACAGACTGTTCCAGGCCAATACTTGGTCGATGCTTGGGTGGCCTGGCAGCACTTCAGTGCTGAATTTTTGCGGCTTTCTGACATGGAGAGTGGAGGTTGTACCCTACTTGCTCACCATCAATGTGCCCTGGACCAGCGCAAGCCTCAAATTGATCCATTGACATGCAGACCTCAGACGTGCCGAATGTGAGGCCAAGGACGCCCACGAAAGCGCCCAGGCCTCAGTCGGTCCTGAATCGGCGAGCACCTTCGAGGGCTCCTGGCCTGAATCGAAATCGATTCTGGCCGGACAAGGCAACTCTAGCTTTCGTAGTTGTGTGCTCAAGCTCCCTCCATCGCCAAGGAATCTGCGCCGCCTGTGCCTCAAGGCATGCAAGCTGTAAACATGCATGACGAGCCACTTCCTTAGTTTCGCGCCACGTGAGCACCAACTTCTGCTTTGCAACATTGCTTCACTTCCCGAGGCAGAACGACAGACTTGTGACCGAGTGAGTGCGAACCTTTCACCACGAATAACCAGACCTGCTGCGCTGGCGTTCTGTCGCACGTTCTTGGGCACCACGCACGGTGGTGTGAAGGGCTTTCACCAAAATCTCGTCGAACTCCTCGGCCAGATCTCCTCGCTTGGTCATGAGATTGGGTATTGAGTTGCAGCATCCATGCACCGACATCGCTGCTAGGCCACTTCATGCCTCATGGTGGCGGCACGACCCCAATAGCCAACTTGTCGTACTCTAGCGTTGAGAGATTGGCTGAGCCGCACAGTCGAGGTGAATTTCCTGCCCAGCGTATCCCAGCGTGCTCATCAGCGCAAGTTTGCCTAGACTGTTTCACTCGACGAGCACCACCGAGCATCTAAAGGAGCTGCTATGCCTACGGTTTCGAAGATGCTAGACGAGCCACGAGCCAGAAAGCTTGCCCCCGAGCGGAGATCTCGACAGTGACAGCCCTCAAGTAGTTTGCCCAAGTATTCGTGCTGCCCTGACCCTGGTGAATGCTCGCAACTGGGACGGCCCGTTTAAGGCCCTCAGGATACATGCATACATTACGTCAAGCTTGAATACCTGTAACGAACCAAAGAGCATCGGAGAGCGAGCGCTAGACGTTGTGATAAAGAACTGGTAATGGTCTGCATGTCTGTGCCGCAGAGGGTTGGGAAAAAGGCCACATGGCATTGCCCCAGCCTCATCACATCCATTGCAGCCCCGTGGCGCTGCCATCACTCGGAGTGGCAGGGCCAGAGTTCAGCCGCTTTTTGCATGGACGTGGCCGATGTACCAGCGAGGTACGGCTTACCGCGATCTACATGGGAATCTTTTGCATGAAGGCGAGGACGAGGCTCAAGAGGAGAAGCACTGAGAGAAGTACTGGTTTCCAGAGCAGACGACATTTGGGAGTCAGCGTGATTTGCACAACTGTTGGTGCTAGCAAAGCTCTTGCTGCACGTGCTCCCAGCTTGTCAGCAGTTCCGGGTATTGGGTTGGGCACTTGCTGTCTCAAAGGTCAAGACAGCTTTCAACAAGTGTTGAATGGCTTGCAGCTGGGCTATCGTTTCATAGACACTGCGAGCCATTACGACAACGAGTCTGACGTTGCTCAGGCAGTGCGCGAATCGCAAGTTCAGCGGGAGGATGTGTTTTTGGT